TATATATATATGTCTACCAGCTGCTTACCCACCACCACCTGCTTGGCCTCTTGGCTCCTTTGACCCGCTCCCGTGTGGAACAGGAATCCCACAGGCTCCAGGGGCCGTGGAGAGTTCAGGGCCACCCTTCCAGGTTCGAGAAGCAGTTTGGGGTAACTGTTGGAAGACTCAGGAAAGATGTCCGGCTGCCCAGGGCTTTGTCCTTCAGCGCCGGGGCTCGGCTCACTTGCAGCTGTTTTAAGATTTCTGGTCTCTGAGTCCTGACCTGAGGGAAGTGAATGGCTGGCATCTGGCTGTCCGTGTGCCCCGCCTGATGCCCCTTGGTGCGCAGACCTGGGAGTGTTTGATAATGACTCAGTCTGTTCTTTTGGGGAATCTGTCTGTTTCCCACGTGAATGGCCGTCTTTTTTGGAGGACCCATGCCGGCCGCCTGAGTCATAGCAGGGGTGCTAGGCGGGGAGGCTGGAGCTGGGATGGAGAAGAGCTGTGAGCCAGCTCCGGGGCAGGCTGAGGAAGGACCGGGTGGCTTCCCTTCAAATAAATCACACGGGCAGCTCACCAACTCCAAGTTCTTAGAATCTCTACAGAAGCCTTGAGCAGTGGTGCGGGTGCTGCCTGGCAGGGGTCCCTTCCTGCTGGGGAAGCCAGGGGCTGGTGTGCGCTGAAAAACACTTCTTCACAGGGGTTGTTTCTGGTTGTGCCTGGGAGTTGCCTGTGCCGTGGATTCCTGCCAGGACCCAGCCCTAGAGTTCGCAGGGAAGGATGTACTTCTTGGGCTTCTGGCTCTACACTGTTGGCCCTCTGGGCTGGGTACTTGTTGGCGGTCAAGGAGGCTGTGCCTTTCCGGACGCTTAACAGCATCCCTGGACCCTGTGTACTGGGTGCCACTCCCACCCTCTCCTGTTTCCCCCAATGTTCCCAAGGCAGGGGATGGGTGGCCTCTGGTTTTGGACCACTGTTGGACCTGTAAATAGGGCTGTGCCCTGGGCCGTGGTGGGACGCCAGCTCCCTGCTGCCAGGCTCTGTCTTCATCCGGAGGTGACTGTCAGAAGCTAAAGGTTGCTTTTCCTTGCAGGGCTCGGGGGTGATCAAGGCTGGCTTTGCTGGAGATCAGATTCCTAAATACTGTTTCCCAAACTAGTAAGTGTTGCTGGCCCTCTCTGTTTAGTTTTTTGTTTGGTTGGTTGGGGGTTTTATTTGTACCAGAATCTAACTCGGGGCCTCACGATTGCCTGCCAGGCAGGCTCTGTGCCACTCAGGCGCATCTCTGCCTGGCCCAGCCCTGCCTGATTTTGTTTGGCTCTGGGAGACAGGTAGCCCTGGGTCACAACTCTGATGTTTAAACACAACTCACCGTCCCTCTCTGTAAGGGAAAGCCCCAGTTTGTGAGGTTACACTGTGGAAAGAATTCTGCAAGAACAAAAAAGTGCTGCGGATTTCCCCTTTGTCCTCTCCCTGAGCAGTGAGGGGGAGGCACCAGTCTTGGCCTGGGGATGGGGCAAAAATGAAAAGGAGCGCTCGCCAAGCTCTGCAGAGAGCAGGAAGGCTAGGGTGAAGGTGCACAGGGCCTCTCTTCCTTGAAAATGTTTTTGTACCTTTTTGACACCAGGGATTGGACCTAGGCGTTGAGAATGCTAAGTGCATCCCCAGCCTCAGAAATGTTTTTGTCAGGGCTTGTTCTTGATCAGATTCTGAAAATATTGTTTTCCTCTCTGGAGGGCTGTCTGTGTGGCGCTGGCTGCAGCAGAGATTTGCAGGGGTCGCTGGCCCACAAGAGCCAGGCGTGTTCACGGGGCCCCTCTAGCTCATGGGCAAGGTTTTTCTCATCAAATCTTAGACACTTTGGATTGGTTCCCTGGAAGCTGGGGCAGAGCAGGACCTAAGGTGCTGGAGCAGCTGGCTCTGCACAGAACCCAGGCCTTGTCTGTCACAGAGCCAGCACGGGACACCCTGGAGGGCTTCAGTCTTCCTTCTGAAATTCTACAGTTCCTGCAGCTATGTGGAGAACTTGGGGCACAGTTTGAATCAGATCTTGGTTTCTAAGGACTGACTCTCCCAGATGTTCTGGCAGTGGACAGGGGCACCATGCACTCGAGGGACATGCCCTCCCTCAGTCTCCAACTGCCCCCCCCCCATGCAAGAGCATGGGCTGAGTCACTGTGGCTGGGGAAAGCTGACCCTCTGCCAGCCTGCGCCATGGAGGGCTGGCGTCCTGGGTTCGCACACTCGTCCCTCTCAGGGAGGTGATGCTTTCCTTCTGACCCCATCCTGCTCCTATATCCCATGGCCACCTCTGGTTCCGACCTTTGCCTGTGGCTGCTTCGGGGACAGAAGCCCTGCTGTGCCCCTGCTCGCCTCACCAACTTTGTGTCCCTGCAGTGTCGGGCGGCCTAAGCACATGCGGGTGATGGCTGGAGCCCTGGAGGGGGACCTCTTCATTGGACCCAAGGCAGAGGTAAGTGGCACAGGGCCACTAGCTGGTGGTGAGGGAACGGGCCTGGGCCTCTGCTGCCACCCTCCTGGGCTCTCCTCACATGACTGTGGGGTCTGCATTCATTTTGGGGAGTGTGGTCAGACCTCTGCATGCCCTGCCTTGTAGAGGCTATCTGGAAACCACAGAGGAAAGAAATGACTAAAAGGTGCTTTAAAGGGGCCGGGGAGATGGCTCAGTAGAATAAGTGCTTCCCTGGCAAGCACAAGGGCTTGAGTTCAATCCCTGGTTCTGCAAAAAAAAAAAAAAAGGTGCTTTAAGACTTAGAGTCACCCCAGTCTCAATAGGGTCATGAAGGCTACCTCTTGCACACCTGCCAAGTGACCCATCTAGGGACAGTACAGCCAGATCACCCACCAGGAGGTGCCAGTGTGGGGCTGTGGAGAAGTGAGCCAGCTGCTCAAATGCAATGGGGATACCTGGGGGATGCGGCCCAGTAGTGGGCCAGGGAAGGGGCAGTGTGCACTAGAGGGGCAGGTGTGTGGCCCCAAGAATGAGGTCAGTGGGAGCAGGGGGTACAGACAGTGAAGAGGGGCACACCCACAGTGGGGCAGTGTCGGAGGGTAAGTAGAGGCAGCATGTCTGTGGTGGAAACAGGTGGGCGGTGGCCGAACCTGCAGAAGGTTTCTTCAGGAGGGGCTGTGCTGACAGGCGCAGGAACCCAAGGGCCCGGAGGAAGCTGGCAGCTGGAGGGGAGAGTAGGGAAACCCCGGAGAGACCGCAGGAGGAGGGCCTGTGGCTTGGGGCACACTGCCACTTTTTCTGGTCTCTGGCCAGTGAAAGCTAGCTGAGCTCTGAGAATCTAGAGTGTGGTGGGACAGAAGAGCCATTCTTAGTTCAGGGCGTACCCCAGAGCCTGGGACACTGTGGGCAGGAGTGGCTTCCCAGAAGGCCAGCGGCTGCCACCTGGCACCAAGCCTGTACCACCTCTGGCCTCCCCTGCCTCCAGGAGCACCGGGGGCTGCTGACCATTCGCTACCCCATGGAGCATGGCGTGGTGCGTGACTGGAATGACATGGAACGTATCTGGCAGTACGTGTACTCCAAGGACCAGCTGCAGACCTTCTCGGAGGAGGTGTGGCCAGTAGCGTCTCTCTGCCCCTGCCCTGCCCCTGCCTCCCCACCACAGCTCTGTCTGTGGGACAGCTCTGGCAACCAGAAAGCACCCAGCTAGGAGGGGACTGGCCAGCTGGAAGCAGGGCTGGGGCTCGGCAGAGGGCCCAGGGGCCACATGTTGTTCATGCCATGCCTCTCCTGTGTCCTGCAGCACCCTGTTCTCCTAACTGAGGCCCCGCTCAACCCCAGCAAGAACCGGGAGAAGGCGGCAGAGGTATTCTTCGAGACCTTCAATGTGCCAGCCCTGTTCATCTCCATGCAAGCTGTGCTCAGCCTGTGAGTGGCCAAGCCCTGTCCTTCCTGTGGCTGTCCCACCTGCAGTGGCCAGGAGCCCCCGGTTCCCTTGATGAGCCCCACCTGTCACTTTCCAGACAATCCCAATGTTCCAGGGTCCCTTCTGGGTGAGGCAGTCCCTGTGCCTCAGTGGCTGAGGTGTGGGTATGCTGACCTGGTGACAGGTACGCAACAGGACGCACAACAGGAGTGGTTTTAGACTCAGGGGATGGGGTCACTCATGCTGTCCCCATCTATGAGGGCTTCGCCATGCCACACTCCATCATGCGGGTAGACATTGCCGGCCGGGATGTGTCCCGCTACCTCCGGCTGCTGCTGCGCAAGGAAGGGGCCGATTTCCACACGTCAGCAGAGTTCGAGGTGGTGCGGACCATCAAGGAGGTGAGGAGGGGCTCTGGGTCATGGCCGCTGCTGGGGGTGTGACGGGGGTACCGAGGTGCAGCCACTGAGGTGTGTCCCCCACCCACAGCGAGCCTGCTACCTGTCCATCAACCCACAGAAGGACGAGGCACTGGAGACGGAGAAGGTGCAGTACACCCTGCCCGACGGCAGCACGCTTGACGTAAGTGGCTGAGGTGATGGCGGCGCTGGCAGGGCTCCCCGGAGCCTGTCCGCCTCAGTCCTGTGCTCTGCAGGTTGGGCCTGCACGCTTCCGGGCCCCTGAGCTGCTGTTCCAGCCAGACCTGGTGGGGGACGAGAGTGAGGGCCTGCATGAGGTGCTGGCCTTCGCCATCCACAAGTCTGACATGGACCTTCGCCGCACGCTCTTTGCCAACATCGTGCTCTCAGGTGGCTCTACGCTGTTCAAAGGTACGGAGCCACTGGGGGTAGGTGCCACCAGGGCATCACAGCCTGTGCCCTGTACATGGGGCCTGGGGCATGGCCAGCTCTGCTGCCTTTATTGTGGTACTGGGGATTAATGCTGTTGCGCTGAGCTACGTCCTCAGCTCTTCATATTTAAGACAAGACCTGGCTAATTCAAGCCAGCGCTCGAATTTAAGATCTTCCTGCCTTACCCTCTCAGAGTTCTGCAGTTATAGCCATGCGTCACCATGCCTAGCTAATTTCTGCCCCCTTTTTAATGGGACCTGGTAGGCTAGGGAGATAGCTTGGCAGTCTAAGTGCCTGCCTGGCAAAAGCAATGTCCTGGGTTCAATCCTCGGTACCACATGCTGTGCTGATCCACACCCTGGGTGCGCTGTGTTGGCCACTGAAACCAGGCAAGGTGGTGCACGCCTGTAATCCCAGCGCTGGGGAGGCTGAGTTAGGATGATCACTACGAGTCTGAGCTGTGTGCAAGACCCTGTACTAAAATAAATTTTCAAAACTTTTAATGGGATCTGGTCTGGTGAGCTTGTTTGTAGAGACTGAGGTCAGTTTTTGTTGTTTTGGTTTTTGAGAGTCTCCCTATGGGGTCCAAACTGACCTTGAACTCAGTGTATAGCCCAGGCTGGCCTCAAATTTCTAGTGATCCTCCTTCAGCCTCGTGAATATTAGAGTTACAGGCTTACACCAGCACACCTGGCAGCAGAGACTGAGGTTTAAAATTAAACTTTGTTTACCTTGTGGCCATGGGGTTAACTGAGAGAGAAAGGTATGAGAGGAGTAACCATGACAAGGATCAGGGGTCAGGTGGGTGCTGTGTCACTTGGGGCTTCATCTCCATTGCCTCACTGAGGTTCGGAGTGGTTTCTCCCCTTGCGTTGGCCCACCCTTCCCTTAGTCCTGGAGGGAATGGGGGTACCCCAGGGCTGGATCTGGAGAACTGTGGGGAGGAGGCTCGCGGTGGACCCCAGACCCCATTCTTGACCGCAGGCTTTGGAGACCGGTTACTGAGCGAGGTGAAGAAACTTGCTCCTAAGGATGTCAAGATCAAGGTGAGTCCTGGAGACCCCTGGGTGTCCGGCCTGGCTCTGGGCAGAGGGCGGTGGCTTGCGGGGACAGAGCAGTGACATGCTCGCCTTCCTCCCTAGATCTCTGCCCCTCAGGAAAGGCTGTATTCCACGTGGATCGGGTAAGACGGGGCCCAGGGAGGGCCCTGGGAAGATGCTGCTTTGCTGTGGACTCTGCTCAGGCAGGGTGGAGCAGTGGAGTCTCCCAGGAGGGGCATGGGGGCAACCCACAGGTCCCCGAGAACACCCCCTCTGTCCTCCCAGGGGCTCCATCTTGGCCTCGCTGGATACTTTTAAGAAGATGTGGGTATCCAAAAAGGAGTATGAAGAGGATGGCTCTCGTGCTATTCATCGAAAGACCTTCTGATGCCCAGGAGGGTGGAATGTGTCGGGAGAAGGGGCACCCAGAGGCCGGGACCCTTTCTGGTCGGGGTCCCCCGCATGCCTTGAGCCCCCAGCAGGCGGTGCCCTGCACAAATGCGCGAATACACACATACACACGCACACATAATTTTTAGCTGCATGGATGCCAGCTCCAGCTGGAGCCGAGGCATTGAGGAGCCTGCAGTGGGTTAATCGGGGCGTCTCTCTTGTGAGCCCCGTTAGGCCAAGGGCTCCTTGCTCTGACTTTTGGAGTTGCTTTCCAGAGCTCCAGGACCAGACGCCCAAATCCCCCACGTCCTCTGGCAGGTGCCACCCCAGGCCCGGAGAACACTGAGGTCTGAGGAGCAGGCTGGAAGAGGCAGCCGCAGAGCAGGCAGGGGTGCGTCTTATGCTGCCGCCTCTGCCGGCCCCACCCCATGGCTACCCACAACTGTGCACAGGTCCCCAGCAAGGGCTCCCAGGCGCTGGGGCAGCCACAGTGGGTAGCCTGTCACTCTCCCCTCCGAGTGTGGCAGTGATGGCCGCTCCTCTCCCTGCCCCATACCCTGGCCAGGAAGGGTCGAGGTCTGCGCTTATGGAGGAAAGCAGGGAAAGAGGAGTCGAGCAGGGGCTAGGCAGGCCTCCCACCCCGAGAACGGGGTCTTCGCCGCAGCCAGGCCCCGCCTCGCTCTCCAGATGCACCCCATAACTTAACACAGTTGCCTGAGAAAAACGTTCTTTTATAAATCATAGGAATAATTATGGACAAAGCCCAGTGTGTGGCTGTTTTCTTGTGCTTGGTGTAGTTGTTTGCTCACCCGACCCTGGGGACCTTCAGAGAAAGGAGCTCTGGGAACGCAGCAGGACGCGGGCTTAAAGCTGCGATTTCTGTGGTTGGCAGGGCAACGTGGCAGGCAGCAAGGCCCCAGGAGGCCCGGCTCACCTGCAGCTGCGTCCCCTTGTGGATGGGGCTGGCCTTACCACATCCTGCTGTTGGGGCACCTGTGCCAGGCAGCCGAACGCCAACAGGGTCAGAGGCTCCTCGGCTCAGTCAGGGAAGGGGTGGGGAGTGGTGATGGCTGAGATGAGCTGGGCTCTGCCGGGAGAGTCCAGAGGGCACTGGTGGCAAAGGCTGCCCAGTGAGGTGAGCTGCTCACCCATGGGTGGGGGCATGAGCACCACAGCATGTCTGCCAGGTCCTTGTGTTTGAGGTCAGTGGTAAAGAAGTATTCTTAATCCCCAACAAATGGACACGTCAGAGCTGGCAGAGTGGCTCACACCTTTAATCCCAGCACTCAGGAAGCAGAGGCAGGAGGATCGCCACAAGTTTGAGGCCAGCCTGGACTATATAATTAGAACCTGCCCCCCTCCTCATGACAAGTCAGAGAAAGAAGGTACAGGGACCATTTCAGTAAGGAACAGCTGAGAGGGACAGGCAGTGGGATGGGCATCAGCCCAGCAGGTGCACAGGCAGAGTGACAAGGACTGGAGGTGGCCAGAGAGGGGGAGGACATGAGGAGGGGCGGCTGCAGCAGGGGACAAGCCAGAGTAGGTTTGCACTGGAAGTGGTGGTCAGCTGTGTCCCAGGTAGTGGACGGACAGTGGCAGTCAGTGTGGGAGCCTAGGACGGATCAGGGAGGGGCTGAAGAGGCACACTGCGGACTTGGTCACCACGTGAGGTCGGAGCTTACAGGAAGCACCCTCCCTGGAGATTCTAGCGCAGCAGTCCTGCCACCCCTGGCGAAGCCTCCCGCTGACCCCCCGCTTCCACAAGTCGTCAGCTCTGCATGCTGTGCCTCCCCCAGCCCTGAGAGGCTGCCACTCAGTCTGTCTGCCGCCCAGTGACAGAGACCCGCCTGGTGACAGAACCAAGCGGGTGCGCGCTGGAAGCCGCCTGCCTCACAGAGGAGCCGTGGGACAAGAGGGAGTGATGTGGGTTAGGCCAGAGCATGCACTTTTGATCCCTGGTTTTCAAGGCTAAAAATCTTCCAATTACTTTCAGGGAAAAGCGGTAGTTGCAGGCAAGAATGAACACAAAATGTAGTAGGCAAAGGTAAGCCTATTTTGCATAATCTGTATATCTCCCCACAAGATACTTATCACAGAAGGAAAACTGGTCAGCTTAGGGCAGAGCCTAGTGGACACCACCTGGACAAGTGCTCAAAGTGCACAGCACTAAGAGGTCACTCTCCTGCAGGTGCGCTAGGGGGCCCCATTTTGTCTTGGGATTCTTGCAAAACCTCAATCTCACCAGCAGTCGGCAGCAGGGAGCCAAGAACTGAAATTAATAGATGAGCTCTCAAAAAAAAGAAAAAAAAAAAAAAAAGATGAGGTCTCAAGTTCGAAGGTGATGGATGGGACGGGAGGACAGAGAGGCAGAGTGCTCCCGGGAAGCCAGCAAACCCAGGAAGAGCCGCTGCGTAGTTAATCGCACTGTACCAATGTGAATTCCTGGGCTCCAGCAGATTGTACGGCAAACTGGGTGAAGGGTAAATAGGAACTATTTTTGCAACTTTTCTGTAAGTCTAAATTTCAAATTGAGGGACAAGAGGGTTCAGGCCACCGTTAAGTGGCTTGAGCACGCGGTCCTAGACGCGTGAAATCGGAACTGCACAGACCTGAGACTTCCCAGCTCTCGCGGCCCTCAGAATGCGCAGTAATGGCCATCAACCGCAGGGGTTGATCATCACCCCGGAAGATAAGCTTGGAACATTTTGTGTCCAAAAGTACAACAAATGCTGGGAGAATGAAAGGGACAGGTTCAGAGGTCACAGGAGCCAGCCCGGAGAGGCTTGGCTGCCCAAATTGGAACAAATTAAACATCAATACATCGGAAGTCATGGGTAATAATCTACTGAATAAAAAAGGGATGGACCCATACTGATGTAAACGAACACGGTGGAAGTTTGGTGAGGTACGAGGTGTTGCTGGCAAATCATTAGTGATCAGCAGGCACCTTCATGTTGGAGGGGCCTGGCAGACATTAGCCAGTGACCATGGTGACCTGCACAGTGTGCAAACCAGGTGCCTCCCAGAAGGGCCTCAGTGAGACTTTTTTTTTTTTTTTCCTGGTGGTACCAGGGATTGAACTCAGCACCCTGCGCTTGCCAGGCAGGCACTTATTCCACTGAGCTACCTCCCCGGCCCCTTGGTGGCACTCTTGCCCAACACTTGGTTACTACCTGAAGCCAGTCCCAAGGAAACAGGCAAATCCAAGATGTCAGTGTCATCCTCAAAACTGTCCACAGGGAACTGTCCTAGATAGACAGTAACAGGTGCCACCAGACTGAGACCCGTTCGCTGTAAGACTTTAGGGATACTGAGCAAAACCTGATCAGGAGCTGAGGGTTAGGGACTGAAATACATAAACCGTTCAGGGTGTAGAGGCACACACCGGTAAGCCCAGCACTCTGAGAGGCTGAGGCAGGAGGATCACAAACTCCAGCTTAGCCCAAGTTGAAACTGAGCAGCATAGTGAGACTGTCTCAAATTTATTTTTTCTTAGAAATTGTTTATTTTTTATACAATTTTTTTTTTTTTTTTTTTTTTTCTGTGGATTGAACTCAGGCCCTTTCGCTTGTCAGACAAGTGCTTATTCTACTGAGCCATCTCCCCAGACCCTGTCTCAAATTTATTGTCCAATCTAAAAGTGAAAAAAGGATTATGGATGTAGCTCAGTTCACTACTCAGTGCCAGAAAAATAAAAGAACTTTACTGATTTTGATGAGTATAAGTCAAGAGCAGGAAGAGAAAGTAAAAAGAATTAAGATGTTATGTAAATGAATTCCCCACAATAAATGCAACCATTTAAAAGATATTTTAAAAAGAAAATGTCATAGCCTGGTGTGGTAGTGCGTGCTTGTCATCTCAGCACTGGGAAGGCTGAGGTAGGAGGATCACTGCAAGTTCAAGACCAGCCTGGGCTACAAAATGAACTCAAGGCCAGCCTGACCTGCATAGTGAGAAAAAAAAAAAAAAGAAAACTCCTTAGCCAGACATAGTGAGGTACATTTAAATCTCAGCTACTCAGGACACTGAAGCAGAAGGACCCCAAGTTCAAGGCCAGCCTGGGCCAATTAGCAAGCCCTGTCTCAATGAATAAATAGGATTGGAGAAGTAGCTCAGTAGAGCACTCACCCAGCATGGCACTACGCACAGACTATCTCTGTAAGAAATAATATAGACAGGTACAGTGGCACATGCCTGAAATCCCAGCTGCTCAGGTTGGTGTGGGAGGATCATGCGCTTGAGGCCAGGCTTCTCTCTTGACAAAACGAGAGCCAAACTCACACCTGAGTGGGTTTTTGACAGGTCTTTTTATCAGCAAATTATTTTCCAGCAGTCCTAGAAAAAGTAGTTCTTTACTCAGTACTTCCAGACAGGCAACTACATACCATCAGTGAGAACTGTATCCTTGTGAGGGGCAACCAGACCCAAATTCTGTGCTGCTGAGTGACCAGTTTCAGACACAGCCCAGGGGCCAGGCTCGGCTCTCACAGCGGGAAGGCCACTGCCTCTCTTCCCAAGGGCTCCCGTTACCATGGCCTGCAAAAGAGGGGTGTAGGTTGACATGGGCAGCCGGGGGCAGAACCACAGCCCTCGCAGCACCAGAAGCCGCTGGGGAAGCTCGAGGCACAGAGGCCTAGGTAGCACCACAGCACTCTCAGCGGTCCGGGCCAGCGTGACCCAGGAGTGGGCCAGGCTCCCAGGTGACTAAGGTGAAGCTCACAGCAAAGGCTGC